TTCCAATTTATTTTCTGTACCGTACAGTGTTTAGAGATTCTTAATCTCAGGCACTAATTAATCAAGTTTAAGGATATTTTCTATATCTTTGAATTTTACTTTATTTTTGTTGAAAAATTACATCAACAATAATTATTTCTAAATTTAAAAATATTGCAATAAATTTGTGAAAAACAAAAAAAAATTTGCGGAATGTTTGAAACTGGGAAAGAATTAAGGAAGCTATAGGATATTTGGCTTGAATTCAGTAGAGAATTCAATTTGAAATAATTGTTGATTACTCATATAAAAATGCAAATATAAACAATAAAAGCATGTCTTAAAACAATTATAAGTGCTAATCTTTTTCGTTATACTCTATATAAGGTAATTATTTTGATAAATGCATAAATTAGACGTGGGGTTACAATACATAATTGTTGTTAACTCATAGCAGAAAAATGCAAATAAACAATCAAACATTGTTACGTTTAATTGAAACTGATAAAAATAAATATGATTCAAAAATTTGAAAATTCGATTCGAACATGATATGAAAGTTCGAACATAGGTTGGACATAACTGAAATTTTAAAAAGAATAATATAAATAATATAAAGTTGAATACTCCTATTTTTTTTAAAAACAAAATTCATAATTACTGAATTTTATCGATGTATTTGATTTTTGATTTGGATTTTGATTTTGGCATAAAAATAAAAAAAAATTAATTTGAATAATTTTTTTAATTTAATATATATATGTATTAATACGATATTTGGAATATGAAATTAATTTTTGATATAATAAAAAATTGATAAATATGAGTTTAATTTCGATATTTTTAAAAGAAAAAATTGATAACTCATACTCTAACAGGTGAGTTTGATTAGAGTTTAGATTTTGAATAATATTTTTTAAAATTTAAATAGGTTGTTTGATATAATATAAATATATATTGTGTGATATTTTAAATATAAATTAATTTTTAATACTACTTTTGTCCGATAAGAAGTGCATCATTTGTCTTTTACATCATTGTACGTAAAAATATATTTATATTTATATAATTTACTCTACAAATGTCGTTATATTTGTATTATAAGAGATTAATAGAGGTATTTTTATTTTTTTCTCTTGATTTGTACTATATAGATATGATAATTAATATTTAAATATTTACAAGCAAAAAAGTTCATGATACTCTTGGTATGAGATGAAAGGCATAATATAAAAATAAAAAAGTTTGATTTGATATTTTTTTAAGGAAGAAAAAAAAATTGAAGAATAAAATCTAACAGTATTTTTGTTGAGGGTTTAAATTTTGGGTTTAGATTTTGAATAGTAAAATTTTTTAATGTAAATATTTGTTTATGTTACATAAATAGTTAATGATATGATATTTTTGTATATAAAATTAAATTTTTGTAGTATAATATAAAAAAATAAAAACTAAAAATATGATTTGATATTTCAAGAAAAAATTCATTGAATAAGCTTAACAATATGTTTGGTTTTGGATTTGAATTTTGAGTTTGAGTATTCATAGTAAAAATTTTCAATTTCACTCAAAAAATATTAAATAAATTACTCCTTCCGTCTTGGAATGGTGACCATTTGTTTTTTGTACGTAAATTTTTAAATATTAGTATTATATTGGATTGTAGTAAAAAAGATAAAAATACCTCTATTGGTATGGTGTAATATAAAAGTAATGACATTTGTGTAATATATTGTAAGTTAAAAGGTATTTATTATGTTAAGTAGGCAGTACAATTACTAAATAAGTTTGAGTATTCATAGTAAAAATTTTCAATTTCACTCAAAAAATATTAAATAAATTACTCCTTCCGTCTTGGAATGGTGACCATTTGTTTTTTGTACGTAAATTTTTAAATATTAGTATTATATTGGATTGTAGTAAAAAAGATAAAAATACCTCTATTGGTATGGTGTAATATAAAAGTAATGACATTTGTGTAATATATTGTAAGTTAAAAGGTATTTATTATGTTAAGTAGGCAGTACAATTACTAAATTAGCATATGATAACTTTGTTTTGAAACGGAAGCAAATATAAAATGGTAACATTTCAATGGGATGGGGGAGTAATATATTTTAGTCTATTATAACTCTCATATCAACTAAATTAACACCCAGAACGCACATGAAAAATAACGATTGCGAATTCTCAATAACTATACCGAAAGAAAGTAGCATAATAGCATGGAATAGAGTGAGTATAAATCTTTTTAACTGAATATAAAAAATAAATAATATATTTGAAAATATTTACTAGTATTTAGTTTTTTTAAAAATAATATTATCTCTGTTTTAACTGAAAATATCTTTTTTATTATTTTGATTTATTCTACTAAAAATATACTTTTTCTATTATATTAAAAAACATTAACATATTAATAGTAAAATATTATTAATTTTTATATAAATTACAAATATATCAATATGTATATACATAATGTACAAATGACAAAAATGTCAAAATTATATCATACTTTTACTAATTAATACTTCCTCCGTCCCACCACACTTGAACCCTTTGATTAGAGACACGGTATTTAAGGCGATAATGTTTAATTAGTTAATAATAATTAATTATGATATTATTATATTATTTTTTTATAATTAATAATATTTATATTTTTAAAGTAAATTTAATATATATGATTAAAAAAATTAAAATATATTTTTAAATATTTAAAATTATATAGCAATTAAAAAATATATGCAATATGGATATCATTTTGTAGAGAATAAAATTTTCTATAATACAAGTAAATTAAAAAATATTTTTGTTTATTTATAATTAACATAAATTAATTTTATAAAAAAAAATGTGTAGTTTTAAATATAGAAAAAAAAATTATTTTTTAGGAGAGATGTAGAAATAAAGAGGTTTTAGGTGGGTCCTACGTCATTTATGATATTGTATATTATGTAGTTAATTAAGTTGATTTATATTTGTTAAATATGCTTTAAATTAATAATTTTTACCAAAAATAAAAATGTGTCGATTGTTATGAGACAGACAAAAATAAAAATAATGTCAAGTGTGGTGGGACGGATGGAATAAAATTATTTCTTAATCTATTACAATTGTCAAATAGATACATTTGTCGAGAGGGGACAAGTATTTGTAAACAAAACTTTTATTTAAAATTAAAATTAGAATTTAAATGTAGTAATATTTTGATACTATAATATTTTATAAAAAGATAATATTCTTTCGTCCAATCACAAATTATACATATTTCTATTTTTTATTATCTAATTGTAAAATAGTTTTTTTTATTTTTTTAATAACTATAGACTTTATTATCATATCATTATTTTTATACAAAAAGATAAATAAATAAATAAAAGCAAAATTATTTTTATAATATTTTTAACTATCTATTATAATTAAAATATTACCTCCTTCATTCCTTGACAATTTATTCATTTTTTTATTTTGGTCCATCTTATAATAAAATATCTATTTTCTTTTTTAGTAATATACTGTCTGTTTAATATTAAAAATATTATTTCAATTTACAATATATTACACAAATGTTATTACATTTATCTCATACAATACTAATAAGGTTAATTTAGTTTTTTTACATTTATTTATAGTACATTCCACTATAATATTAATATTTTTAAAATTCCGTGCAAAAAGTAAAGGGATACATAGATATGGAACGGAGAGAGTATTATTTTTTAAATTTCATATAAAAAAATAAGTATATATATTTTTTAAAATAAACAGATGGAGTATACACTCAAAAAATTATATTTTCTCCGTCTCATAACAAAGTATCAATTTTATCATTTTAGTCTGTCCCATAACAAAATATCTATTTCCTTTTTTAGTAACTGTACTATCTACTTAACATTACAAATACTCTTACAACTTACAATATATTACACAAATGTTATTATCTTTATATCGCACATACTAATAAAGTTATTTTAGTCATTTATATTTTATTCCAACTATATCCCAATATAATACTAATAATTCTAAAACTATGTGCAAAAAATAAATAAATATTTAGTTATGGGACAAAGAAAGTACATATTTTTATTTTATTTTCTAATTATAAAATTATTTATTTATTTTTTTAATAATTATATATTTTATTATTATATCATTATTTTTACATAAAAAAATAAAAACAAAATTATGTTTATATTATTTTTAAATATCTATTATAATTAAAATATTACTACCTTCATCCGATTACAAAGTAAACATTTACTTTTGGCGCGTTGTTTAAAAATAATAGTATTTTAATTGTAGTAGGTAGTTAAAAGTAATGTAATGACATTTTTACGTTTCTTTTTTAATGTAAAACTAATTATGTGATGTAAAGTGTGGGTATTTGTGAAAAAAAAATTTGGTATTTAATAAAATGATTATTTTTTAATTTGACCGCTCAAAATAGAAATATACTCTTTCCGTCCCAAAACTATAGTTTTATTTGGGTTGACACAAAATTTAAGAAATATTGATATTATATTGATAGTTGATAAAAAATATGAGTAAAAGACTTTTTTTGTCCTCATGAGTGTATTAACATAAAAAAATAGTGGCAATTGTGTAATAATAATGAAAAAAAAGATAATTTTATGGTAATATGAGCATTTATGAAAATAAAACTATAGTTTTGTGACAAACAAAAATAATAAACAAAACTATTATACTTTCTGGATGAAGAAGATGAATTATTTTTTAAATTTCATATAAAAGTAAATATATATTTTTAGAATAAACAGATGGAATATATGTATACTGTATACTCCCTCCGTCCAGCTAGAAAGTATACATATTTCTATTTTGGGATATCCAATTACAAAGTAAATATTTTATTAAATACCTTACTTTTTTTTACAAATGCCTTTACTTTACATCAAATCATTATTTTTACACCAAAAATTAAGGGCAAAAATATAATTACATTATTTTTAACTACCACAAAAGTAATTGTATACTATATAAGTAGATGGAGGAGTATTAAATATAATTTTTTTCTTACAAAACAATAAATCAAATACAAAACATCAAATCAAATATGATCTTTTACCTCTTTTTTTTTTTAAAAAAAAAAAAATCGTATCTAAACAAACCTCAAAGCCGTATCTAAACAAACCTCAAATCATTGAGTAAATTAAATTAAATTAAATTTGATCATATCTATTAAGTACGCTCCTACTTCACATCTCCCCTAGAAAAGTCTTGGCGGCGTCCAAGCTCGGAAAATACGTCATCTCTAGGAATATTTGGCTAACCAAATCCTCCGATCCGCCGCTCGCCGCCAAGCTCCCCATCACCGCCGTCACCACCTGCTTGTATCCAAAGTAAAATCTCTTCACCGCCGCTTCCACCGCCTGCATCGCCTGAAACAGCTGAATTTTCGCAAATTCCTCCTTCCTCCGGTACAATTCCATGGCGGCTTCCTGCACCCTCGGACCGCCGCTCGGATCGACCTCCACTTCCAAAACCTCCGGCACCTTGTGCTTCAAATCCTTCGACAATCTCGTAATTCCGACGAGTCCGCGCGATCGGAAGCAGAAGAGCTCCGATTTCATTGTCAATTGCTTTTTCAGGCGGAGGAAATCGTCGGGATCCATCAGTAGATGCAAATCCTCGATCTTACTGATAATCCTCCATACTTTCTCCAGTATCCAGCACTGGATCGCCGCTGTATCGTGCCGCCGGCGGTCGATCTCGTCGGCGATCCTCGCGAGAACCTCTCCGGCGACGGCGATCCACGACTCTAAAATCTGGTGCGTGGTGTAAACCGTCTGGTTCTCCAAATTAACCGCCTCGACGTCGTCGTTTCGGCATCTCTTCAGCGCGTGCACCTCAGACGGCTTGCAGATCGCGTCGTAGTTCAGGCTCGGCTTCCCGCTCAGATTCGGCTCGCCCAAGCCGAGCGTGTACGGACACCCTAGCATCCGGCACTCTATCGAGAATTGAATCTTCCGCGCCGCCGACTCGAGCTTGGGCCACGAAGCCAGCCGCGGCAGCAAGCTGGCTCGGCTCACCTGGCTCACCACCACCGTATCATCCTCCCGCCGCCACACCTCCGCCGCGCTATTCTCCCGCGCCAGAACCCCGCCGGCGGAGCTCAAATCGACGACCGGCATATTCCGGCGAGTCTCGGAATCTTCTTCATCCGCTTCACACAACAGAGCAATAATCTCCACCTCATCTGCCGCCAGCGCCTCCACCCGCCGCCTCCACTCCCGGCGGTCGGCGTACGGCCTCGGGTCGGAAAACACGGTCGACATGAACCGGAAGGTAATCTCGAGCGCCACTAAAGCCGGTTTAAAAACCGGTTCACTTTTCCAGCCGGGGAACTCGGTTCTTCCCCAAATCTTCTTCATCTCTGGCAGGCGAAGATAGCTTTCGTACGCCGCGCAAATTTCGTCGGACGCCGTCGAAATCTCCGGAGGCGGCGGCGGCGGAATTGCATTCGGGAGCTCGTTGCAGAGCTTCGGCGGCGATTGGGCGGCGATTTCGGGGGGAATCATGTTAGATTTCAATTCCAAACCCACCATTTTTTGTGGAATTTGAAATCTAAAATAGGATTTTGGTATATGTAGGAGAATGGGAGACAGGAACAGGTGAAAGGCGTGTGGAAGGAGAATGGAGAATGTCCAAAGGAGCGGCGGGAATAGTACTAGTAATTATTAGTACTAGTTTATTGGAGGAAACCTTATCCATTTCTGGATATATATATATATATATACAAACATCTGTCATGTGTTTCTGTGAATTGACGGAAGTGCCCCTCAGCTAAGCGTGCTTAATGCAGGAACCAACTACCACGCAAGGTCCAGGCTGTGTTTTTAATCCACCCAACTAAATTTTGCCACGTCGGACGGTGGGCGTGGGAATAACTACCCGCCTAGTAGCAAATTTTCTAAATTTTACTATTTAAATTTTGTTTTTGTCGAATTTTTTATAAAATATCTTATCAAATATTACTTTTATATCAAATTTAAATCTATTTGAGTTGCTACCGTAAATTAAGAAATAATATTTTATTAGTTAGTAAATATGTATAAAATAATTTTGATATTTTTATTATTTGTATGTTATGTATATATATATGTAATGATATATTTATAATTAATGTAAAAACAACGGGCATTTTGATTTTAGTGAATTATATTTACTATACGAGAAAATGAATAATTTTGACTGAAACACATTCAAAAATAATAAAAATATTCTATCCGTTCAAAAACAAATGAGAAATTTGGGATGAATACGAGAATTAAGAAATAATAGTATTATATTGATAGTGTATGTAAAAATATTTTTAAAAGAGTAAAATATCTATATTTTATGTAATTATTGTAAAAAAGTGAAGATAATTTTGTAAAAAAGTGGGGAGATAGTTACTGAAAATGAGACTATTGTTTTAGGACAGACGAAAATAGGAAAATTAGACTATTATTTTAGGACGAAGAAAATAATATTTTTAATTGGGACAGAAATGATAAATTTTCTTTAATCTACAGCAAAATTTCTTTAAAACAATAGGAAATAAATAGTATTATTTATAATAAAAATTTTAATTTAGTAACCCTGTCGACTATAGAATGTTTAAATTATGATGTATTTGTATAGTTTAAAATATTTTATTATTGAGCAATTAAATTTTGTTTGTGTTGATGTAATTTTTCAACAAAAATAAAGTAAAATTCAAAGATATAGAAAATATCCTTAAACTTGATTAATTAGTGCCTGAGATTAGGAATCTCTAAACACTGTATGGTACAGAAAATAAACTGGAAAATAAAAGACTGAAATTTAAAGTGGTGATCCCCAAATCTGACTTTGCTTTGTTGAAGTTGATTGAAGATGCCTTGCCAAATGATGATCCAAATCCTTAAATATTCTTTGAAGAAAACGTTCAGAACCGTCGTCTGGTCAGTTACCATAACCGTTGTTAACCGCCCCAAAAGTTCTCTTCTATTGACACGTGTGTCAACCGTTCTACTACGTCCGACCTTCAAAAAACCGTTCGTCAGTTGCAACTTCCTCTAACCGCCCCAGAACTGCTCTCTCACCCGACCTGCACATGCTACTTCACTTGGTCCGAACTTCGTATCACGTCCTGACCTCAATGCCCGACCTGCTTCTTCGCCCGACATCATTTGGGCCGACCTCCGCATCAGCCGCCCTCTGTCTTTGACCGACTTTAATTGGTCCGACCATGGACCAACCAAATGTGGTCCCGACCACGGACCAACCGACCGGCTCTATTTGCCTTATCTCTTTAGAAGGACAGACTGTCCTCTGGACAGACCTCCGCATCTGTCCGTACCTCTTCCTTGCCCGATCTTTCTCTTGACAAACCTTCGCGTCTGCCCGACTTCGTCTTTCACCCGATCTACGGTTTACCCGACTTGGGTACACCTTTTTTCAGACTCGGCCCGACCTTTCTTCCTTCCCGATCCTTGCATCTGTCCGATTGCACCCTACTTCTGGGTCATTTAACTTATATCCAGACCCGTCCAGAATCCCACTGCCATTATTTATTATTATTATTTTTTGTGCTTAACAATAAGCCTCCTCCTCAAGACTCCTAAACATCACTGAAAGTGATGTTTTAGGAGTTTGCAGGTCAGCATCTGAGGCTACATCAGCCTCAGATCCGACCTCCATCTTCTGAGGCTACGTTAGACCCGACCTCCATTTATCGCGGACTGGTGGTGGTCTGCACATTGATCGATCTTGCACTAACATTGCTTCAGCATCTCCCCCCTGACGGAAGTCATGATTATTTTCTGTAAAAAAGGATTCTAACCTTCTTGCCGTGGATGCTAAACTGGCCAGATCTTGAAAGTCGTGGGCTGTCAGGGCCTCGCGAAGTCTGGTATGCATGTTCCTGACCACCAAATTGGTCATTTCGCTTTCATTGATCATCGTAGGACATCGTCCCTTCATCAATCGCATCCTCTCTATGAATTGGTAGCCGGTCTCTTCCGGCATCTGTGTGATCTCCAGAAGGTCTATCAGTGAGACTGTCGGCAGAGGATTAAAGAACCTTGCATGAAAATCTGCCTCTAAATCTTCCCAAGTTTGCAACTGTCCAGGCGGCTCTATTTGCCTTATCTCTTTAGAAGGACAGACTGTCCTCTGGACAGACCTCCGCATCTGTCCGTACCTCTTCCTTACCCGACCTTTCTCTTGACAAACCTTCGCGTCTGCCCGACTTCGTCTTTCACCCGATCTACGGTTTACCCGACTTGGGTACACCTTTTTTCAGACTCCGCCCGACCTTTCTTCCTTCCCGATCCTTGCATCTGTCCGATTGCACCCTACTTCTGGGTCATTTAACTTATATCCAGACTCGTCCAGAATCCCACTGCCATTATTTATTATTATTATTTTTTGTGCTTAACAGTTTGATTATAAATTAAAGGCAAAATGACATAAAATTTCACTGTGGTTTTTGAATTTGATGAAAATTCCCTCGGATTTTAAAATTTCATATAATTTATCTGTGAATTTTAAAATGTTGTAAAAAAATTACCATTTCCGTTAATAATTGACGGATATTGTCTGACACGCGCTTAAATGGAGAGTGAGTTCACAAAATTATATAAAATTGGAGATAAAATTACAAAAATACCCTCACTTTCATCTTTTCCTTCCTAGTCGCGTTTCTTCCTATATATGATAAGGATTTGGAGATCGTACAAAATGCATCGAGGTGGTTTGTTTGAATACTATTCTTCATCGGCGAACCCTAATTCACAAATTCACCCTCCAAATTCAGTCAGTTAGTGAAAATTAAATTTCAATTTTTTGAATCCCAAAATTACGAAAATTGAAATTGAAGCTAGCTACCCCTTTGGAGGAGGGATGATGTCTGATTTCAGAGCTGGACGGATCGACACCAGTAGGATTTCTTCGAAATCTCATTATTATTCCAATCGCCGTCCCCATATTTATTTCTAAAATTAGTATCGTCGTCGCTGACGAAGTCGATCTCTTAATCGGAATGAATTCCTCGAACACCGATACGTCATTGAATCGCTGGTCGAAGAATTCCTTCGATTGGACTCTGTTCGTATTATTGTACTCCGGCATCTTCGCAGAGATCTGCTGCCTGGATGACTCAATCGTTGCCGAGAGCCCCCAAAACATCGCCGTATTAATCACAAGATCGAAACTTTCCGACCACTCAAAATTAGTAAGATGGAGAGGTTAATTAATGAAAATTACCTTAAGTGACAAGGTGGAGACAGAGAGGGAGTCTGCGGCGGAAAACTTGAATCATACGGCGCTCTTCTTCCAAGGCGAGAATGTATTTAACCGGAGAGACTTCAACGACGACGATGATGTTGGTGGTGATCAACATTTCATTTGGAAGTGAATTTATAATTTATTAATTATTAATTTACGAGGAAGTGGGGTAATTGGGAGAAGCAGTTTGTTTGTCTCTCTCAGCATAGACAGATCTGAATGAAGGGGTAAAAAATGGTGTTTGGGGTGGGGTTGGGGGAAGAGGCGGAGGCGGAGGTTGTTTGAGAATTCCGGCGGTTGTAGCAGTGGGAGGGGAAGAAAGAGTAGTATGAATTGTGTGTGGTGAGGAGTAAAGTGAAACTGTATGTATGTATATATTTATGTGGTACGAGAGAAGAAATAATTTGGTCAAACAATGACCGGTCAAATTCGTTAAGTAAAAAATATAGTAAGGCTATAACGGTCAAGACAATTAAAATATTAACACGGTTAGTCTAATTTTGAAGGAAGGGGCGAGTGCGCAACATTTTAGAAATCACAAGTAGGTTTTATGAAATTTTGGGATCATAGAGGATTTTCAGCAAATTTGGAAAACCACAATGTGGTTTTATGCTATTTTGCCTAAATTAAATTACAATATAATATATACAATTAAAAAAACGGATAATTAGTCTGCACGGTGAGGTTTAATTATAATTGAGTCTCTATTTTAAAACAATTGATCTGCATTCCCCCTTTACATATTTAGTTTAGTATTAGTCCCTCTTTTATATTTTCTCTAGTAAAAATTTAATGTACCTCTAAAATATTTTTAAATGCTTCCAAATTTATTTTATATACTTATAACACATTCAGTTTAAATTTGTCCATCTAGTTCCGAATCTCCGGTTCACCTGTTCACCTGTGTTGGATTTTTTGTCCTTATGGTCCACCCCAAATAAATACACAAATACACACTCGTCTCGCAGCCCGAGCGCATTCGGGCCTGGCCCATGTCCCGACCTCACTGTCCGTCCGACTGCGTCCCAACTTAGCGACCTGTCCGACTTCACCAACCGCTTGACTACTTCCTGATTCAGGGATCTGTCCTGAGTCGGACCATCCGTCCGACTCCGTCCGACTTCGTCCGACTCTGTCCGCATGACTTCGTCTAATTTCGACCGACCGTCCCGACTTCGTCCTGGCTTGGACCGTCCCGACTTCGTCCTGGCTTGGACCGTCCCGACTTCGACCGTCCGCCCGACTTCATCCCAACTTGGACCATCCGCATACATACCGACAGTCTGACCTTATGCCTCCCGACCTTGACCCACGTCCTGATCCGACCCGACTAGGATCCGCGTCTTTTTCTTTAGCCACGTCCCTGGCCGTCCGATCTGG